ATTAATAATAATAATAATAATAATCTATATATAAAAAATGCTCTGTGCATAATGAGTACCTTAAAAACAAAAGAACCAATGAACGAAATCACACCAAATTTGGCAACAAAACGTCCACAACACAAGGAGTGACTATCACTCAAAAAATATGATTTTGTCATTTGGGAGTTGTAGTTGCTGGGATTTATAGTTCACCTACAATCCAAGAGCATTCTGAACCCCACCAATGATGGAATTGAACCAAACTTGGCACACAAAGCTCCCATGACTAACAGAAAATACGGGAAGGGTTTGGTGGGCAGTGTCCTTTGGTTTTGGAGTTGTAGTTCACCTACATCCAGGCAGCACTATGGACTCAAACTGTGATGGATCTGGACCAAACTCTACACAAATACTCAATATGTCCAATTGTGAACACCGGTGGAGTTTGGGGAAAATAGAATCTTGACATTTGGGAGTTGTAGTTGCTGGGATTTATAGTTCACCTACAATCACAGAGCATTCTGAACCCCACCAATGATAGAATTGGGCCAAACTTCCCACACAGAACCCCCATGTGGGCCACAGCAACGCGTGGCAGAGGACGGCTAATAATAATTATAATAATAGTAATAATAATAATTTATTTATACCCCACTACCATTTCTCCAAGGGGACTCAGAGCGGCTTACGTGAGGCCAAGCCCGACAACACATCAATAGAACAAAAAATAATAAGCAAATCAAACAATACAATTAATATAACTCACATATAAACAATAACACGCAAAGATTTAAAAACCTATGGCCGGGCCAGATGTAATAGTTTAAAATTTAAAAAACAAACGCTGGGCATGAACAGAGGTAGGATGTATCTGGTAGGAGAGTTTTAAAAGAAATGAAGGGAGAGCAACCCAATGGGTAGTTACCACCACTGTACCAGCCACTTTATAGAGTCACATTCAGGGTGCATCTACAATGTAGAATTCATGAAGTTTAACACTACTTTAAACTGTTGTGGCTTAATTCTAGGTAATCCTGGGGGTTGCAATTTGGAGAGGGTCCAGCATTCTTTGGCAGAGAGGCTAAAGACCTTGTAAAGTGACAGCCCCCCCCCCCCGTTTTTTATCGTGTCACAAACGACTTGAGAAACTGCAAGTCACTTCTGGTGTGAGAGAAATGGCCGTCTGCAGAGACGTTGCCCAGAGGACGCCCAGATGTGTTGACAACCTGTGGGAGTCTTCTCTCATGTCCCTGCATGGGAAGCTGGTGCTGACAGACGGGAGCTCACCCTGTCTCACGGAGTCGAACTGCCGACCTTCAGGTCAGCAGTTCAGCCAGCACAAGGGTTTAACCCGTTGCACCACAGTGGTTTTGACTGCTCCCCTGATTCTATCTTCGACTGATGAAGCGGGAAAAGAGACAGCTGGAGGGCGTGTGGCGAGAACTCCGTGACAGAGCATCGAGATCAGCTTATGAGGCATTCAGGGAATCCTATGAGCATGCTATCACTGAGGCAAAGCGAGTATATTATGCTTCTTTGATAACGTCTGCTAGCTCACGCCCGGCAAAATTGTTCAAAATAATTCGATCTCTAACGACGGTTCCTACCGTCCCAAAAAGTGGTGATCAGGCCCCTCCAGCCGAGGTTTTTCAGAGCTATTTTGCAGACAAGATCTCGCTACTTCGCCGGGACCTCCCCGCCACAATTGATACAGTGAGAGAACTTGAGACCCCGTGGCCACTTGCTGGGCCCATCCTCGACCGGTTCATCCCGCTGGATGCAGGGGCTGTCGATAGGCTCATAGCTGCAGCTAGACCGACCACTTGCTCCCTCGATCCGTGTCCCTCTTGGTTGGTGAAATCCTGCTTGGAGGGATTACGTGACCCTCTGTTGAAGATCATAAACAGCTCCCTTGAGCAAGGAGTCTTTCCAGAGGGTTTAAAAGAGGCGGTGGTCTCTCCTTTGCTGAAGAAACCAGATTTAGATTCCTCGGTTCCCTCCAGTTACCGCCCAGTTTCAAATCTCTCGTTCCTGGGCAAGGTGATTGAGAGGGCAGCAGCGGAGCAGTTGCAGCAATTCCTAGACAACACAGCCAGACTAGATCCCTTCCAATCTGGCTTCCGTGCAGGGCACGGGACAGAGACTGTGCTGGTCTCCATCACGGATCACCTTCGATGCCAGCTTGACCAGGGCGGGTCAGCGCTGCTCGTGCTATTGGATCTCACAGCAGCATTTGACACAGTTGACCACAATCTCTTGACCCACCGCCTTGCTGTTGCTGGAATCAGGGGGACAGCTTTAAACTGGCTGTCCTCCTTTCTTCACAACCGTGGACAGCGAGTGGAGAGGGGAGGCCTGGTCTCTGAGAGGTCCCCTCTATCTTGTGGGGTTCCTCAGGGGGCCATTCTCTCCCCTCTGTTGTTTAACATCTATATGCAACCACTTGCTCAGCTGGTTCGAGGTTTTGGGCTTGAGTGTTATCAGTATGCCGATGACACTCAGCTGGTGCTGAAGATGGAAGGCCGATCGGACTCTGTACCCGATTGTTTCCATCAGTGCCTCGAGGCCGTTACTGGATGGCTGCGTGCCAGCAGGTTGAGGGTGAATCCAGCAAAGACGGAGATCCTATGGCTGGGTGGACCGGGCAGTGGGGACATCCATCTGCCCACCCTGGATGGCGAGGCGTTACGCCCGTCATCATTGGTAAAGAGTCTGGGAGTCCTTTTGGACCCTCTGCTGACAATGGAGGCTCTCCACCGTGAGCAAAACCGCCTTCTTTCACCTGCGGCAGGCTAGACGGCTGGCCCCCTACCTGTCCAGGGATGACCTAGCTACGGTGAACCAGGCCACGGTCATCTCAGGACTGGACTACTGTAACGCCCTCTACATTGGCCTCCCTCTGTCGGTGATTCGGAAGCTCAAGTTGGTACAAAATGCAGCTGCTCGGCTTCTTGCGGGAATTCCGATGAGATGCCACATAACACCAATCTTACTACAGCTGCATTGGTTACCAATTGAGCACCGGATCACTTTCAAAGTGATGGTACTCACCTTTAAGGCCTTGCATGGTCTGGGGCCGATGTACCTGAGGGACCGCCTCACCCCCTACCAACCCCAGAGATCCCTCCGCTCTGAGGACCAAGATCTATTGGAAGTCCCCAGTGTCAAGACCTTGCGTCTAACGGCAACCAGACGCAGAGCCTTCACAGCAGTGGCGCCATCAGTCTGGAATGCTCTGCCACCTGAAGTTCGTGCCCTGCGGGACTTACCAGCTTTCCGCAGGGCATGTAAGACATACCTGTTCCGACAGGCTTTTAATGTTTGATACTGTTGTTTTTAAATTGTTTTAAATTGCTTTTAAACTTTGTTAGATTTTAGCTATTCTTGTAAGCCGCTCCGAGCCCCAGGGGAGTGGCGGCATATAAGTTTAAATAATAAATAAATAAAAATATCGGATTGAGCCATGGCAGCAATAGAATTGCCAAACTGTGTTAATTCTGCAATATAGATGCATCCTTATTCATAGAAAATTTGAAAACATTGACAATCTAACTTATAATTGAGTGGTGTGGTTTATTTACCTAAAAACTAAGGAAAGAGAAATGTAGGGGAACAATCAAAAGGAAAAGGAGGACTAGGCAGACCTTGAGGCTTAATAGGAGGCATTTTGTTGTTTTTTTGAATATCCTAGGCAACGTACCTTTCTCATGCTGAGCAGTGCTTGGAAAATATATTTGGAGGGTTACCATTCTGAAAATCCTCTCCACATGGTCACACTAGGGAATTGGGGACTTACAGTGCTCACAAGTTAATTTTTTTGATGTTTTGCTTTAACTCAGAACTCAGAACCCGATAACTGTAGCTCCCAAATTAACATTTTAAAGCTCTGTAACTGAGTAATATAATAATAATATGTAACATTGCAAAGAGTTGGGATCTTTTCACAATGCAGTTACAGGGCTGCGAGTCCTCTTTAGCTGTTATGACAATATACGTTGCAATGTTGGGATTTGCGGATAAGGCATGTACGAGAATTCTGAGCTGGAGAGTTCTAGTGCCTCATCAGCCCCTGGTGACACAATGGGTTAAACCCTTGTGCCAGCAGGACTGAAGACCAACGGGTTGAAGGTTCAAATCTAGGGATAGCGTGGATGAGCTCCCTCTGTCAGCTCCAGCTCCCCATGCAGAGACATGAGAGAAGCCTCCCTTAAGGATGGTAAAATATCAAAACATCCAGGCATCCCCTGGGCAACGTTCTTGAAAACGGCCAATTCTCTCACACCAAAAGTGACTTACAGTTTCTCAAGTTGCTCCTGACACGAAAAAAAAGACTAAAAATCCCACAATTCTACAGGATGTTGCCATGGCAATTTAAGTGGAATCGTACTTATATAATGTGTGAAAGAGACCCTGGAGATTTGTATCTCTACCAGCCTTTGGAGGATTTTTTTTCTTCATTTTCTTGCCTATTTTTCCTATCATGCTGTGGATATTTCAAGTACATTATCTTCTCCTGAAATGCAGACAGGTAACTGGTGTCTCCTGAGAGCATTGACACAAGTGGAGAGTGGCACCCTGAAGGCATTTGGTCAAGTGAAGTCCTGCCCTGTAAAGAGAACTGACCCTGCTTCTTGGCAGGGGGTTGGACTGGATGGCCCATGAGGTCTCTTCCAACTCTATGATGCTATGACCCTGGAGGAAAGGAAACCAGGCCAAAACCAAAACAAAGAGCATCATTACTGTGTCCACAATACCAATGGATGTTCAAAGTACTTGGATTAAGGTTCCTATTGGATCCTCCAGCTTCTGTAAAGTGACATCCATAGCCACTCAAGGGCAGTCCCACAGAGGATACATTCAGTAACTGGGTTACACATGTCTATTAAGCATGGAAAATGTCAAAATATAGCCAAAAGTGGTACAGATAAACACACACGCAAGATGTACACTTGCCTATTTTTCTCCACAGTCTTCTTGGAAATTACTAAGCACACCTTTTCTTATGATTCCTGTCCTAGATCCGTCGGCGAAGACCAACACCAGCCCTGCTATTCCAGTTGTCGGAAACTTCACCTGGTGAGTCTTGAGTCTTCTTACACTGTCCGGAGTGGGAGAATGGAGGGTTTGAAAACTAGCCATGCTAGCTGGGGGATACTTGAAGTTGTGGTTCAAAAAAGTGACTTTTCCAAACTCTGGTATCAATATTGTGCCAAATAGCCACCTTGAGAAATATATTTGTAGAGCAAGCTTGTTTTCTGCTTCCTTGGAGACTAGGACGCGGAACAATGGCTTCAAACTACAAGAAAAGAGATTCCATCTGAACATGAGGAAGAACTTCCTGACTGTGAGAGCCGTTCAGCAGTGGAACTCTCTGCCCCGGAGTGTGGTGGAGGTTCCTTCTTTGGAAGCTTTTAAACAGGGGCTGGATAGCCATCTGTCAGGGGTGAATGCAATATTCCTGCTTCTTGGCAGGGGGTTGGACTGGATGGTCCATGAGGTCTTTTCCAACTCTTTGATTCTATGATTCTATGAAATGTATTTGGAGAAATATAGGATATAACAAATGAATAAATGAATGAATAAATAGATACATAATAAGAAAGTCTATATTATAATAGACCAGACCTGCACAACATACAGCCCGCGGGCCACATGCACCCCAGACAAGCCTTTGGTGTGGCCCGCCAAGCACCCCTCTGCTCTTGCTTTCCCTCCCTTGCCACTACTGCTTTTGCTGCTGCTTCTGCTGCTTTTCCCTGCCTTCCCATGAAAATGAAAGGAAGAAAAAAGAGAGGGAAGGAGGAGAGAAAGAAATGTAGTAAAGTAGGAGACAGAGAGAGGAGGTATTCAGAATTCACAAAGCATGAGGTTTGAACCTCGGGTTATGGCTCTGAACATACTAGGTGACTTTAGACAAGTCACACTCTCTCAGCCTCAGAGGAAATTGCCTTTGAATAAATCGTGGCAAGAAAACAGTGATCGAGTTGCCTTAGGGTCACCCTAAGTCTGAAATTACTTGAAGGCACACAACAACATCACTCCTAATTAATCATTAATTATACTTTACTTGGAAAGTGAGGTGCTAAAAACCTATGTGTGGCCTCAAGAGGATGAACCCATCTAATTTCAGCCAAGTTGTGCAGGCCTGTACAACACTGGCTTATCTGGGCCCATACTGGACAAAACTACATGAGACATCTCTGTCATTATCTGAGCTGTTGCTTTCTCTGGGCTCTTAACACATAATATAACTATATCACTTTTCCATCTTTCGAGACTCTTTCAATACAGAAAGCTATTCCTGATGAATTTCTATCTTGCCTTACAGCTATTATTTTCTTTCACACTGTGCAGTTGTGGCAGGTTGATACGTCAATGGCCACGACTCCAGCCTACAGAATTCTGGGATTTGTAGTTTAACAAGGGAAATTTAGACTTCTCAGCCAGGCAGCAGTTATTTATTTATTTACTGTACAATAGAGTCTCACTTATCCAACCTTTGCTCATCCAACTTTCTGTATTATCCAACGCAGTCTGTCTGCCGCCCGGATCCACAGTTGTTTCAATACATTTAAATGTTTTGGTGCTAAATTCATAAATGCAGTAATTACTATATAATGTTACCATATATTGAACTGCTTTGTCTGTCAATTTGTTGTAAAACATGATGCTTTGGTGCTTAATTTGTAAAATCATAATGTAATTTGACGTTTAATAGGCTTTTCCTTAATCTCTCCTTATTATCCAACATTTTCGCTTATCCAACATTCTGCTGGTCTGTTTATGTTGAATAAGCGAGACTCTACTGTATTTATATTCCACTCTTCTCACCTCAAAGGAGACTCAGAACAGCCTTACAAAAGGCTACAATTTGATGTCATATCAACAAATAAATGTAAAATAAACACATACATTAAAACATAAATTTAAAAGCCATGTAGACATTAAAGACATTATTACAACCACGCAATCCAAAATCATAGTCAAAAAGCCATTCCAGTCATTATTGCACATTTTCCATCTTCACTTATTTCACTGCACTATTGGCCAAAGGTTTGATTCCAGAGCCGTGTTTTTACTTGCCATCTGAAGGTCATGAAGGAGGGAGCTGACCTGATTTCACTGGGGTGGGAGTTCCATAGCTGAGGAGCCACCACTGAGAAGGCCCTGTCCCTTGTCCCTATCAACTGCAGCTGCGAAGGAGGTGGGACCAAGAGCAGGTCTAAACCTCTGTGTTGGTTCATAGAGGGAGATGCATTCAGTTCTCATGTTTCACAAACTACAAACCCCAAGATGCCATAGAATGAAGTCACATCAATTAAACTGGAATCATGTCACCATATCTGCATCCACTTTTTTTAAAAAAATTAGATTTACAATTCAATCATTCGCCCAATTGTCTGGAAATAAAATCTAGATCTTTTAAAACATGGTTTAGATTTACAGTTCAGCCCACCCGAGTATGGCAAATCCTACTTGAACTCAGTGGATTTCCTTTTGAGCAGATACAGAAAGGTTTGTGCATTCCAGAGACTGGAATGTTAATATAAAAGGCTTAAAATATTTTGATCACTAATATTGAAAATCTAATAATTTTACATGGAGGCATTTTTAGAACATTATGTTAAAACAGTTAACCATTAGTGAGCTCAAAAATCTAATCTGGTTTCTGTTGGGGACATTTTTAACACGTTGTCACTGTGTTAATCATTGACGCTGGGAACCGTAGGATTGACAAGAGAAAATGGCGTATAATACTTCAGTTGACACCATTGCCTACGAGTGGCACATTTTATTTCTGGCTCGTTCAAAAACGTTATTTTGGGAACTTAAATTGCCTGCCCAAATCTGGCATTTTCCAGATGCACAAAAACTCCACAGCCAGATTGCTAGCTGGGGATGGTGGGATTTGCAGTCCAACAAATCTGGAAAATGCTAGGTTAGAGAAGGTGTCTTTAAAGCATGGTACTTAAAAACCTGTGCAATTGAATTTTGTCAGTAAATTCCAGCATCTCTTTGCTTCTTTCCATCTCTACCTCCATCCCAAAACACCCAAACTGTTGTCTCATGCTTGAAACACCATGGATTACTTAAGACAAAAATAGCATAAAGCTTTAAAAAGAATCTTTTGATGTCCTCTAATAATTACTTTAAAAATAACTGTACATTAACTACAATATATTATGCATTACACCAAAACAGTCAATATTGCTACTACTTAGTACTGTGCTGGTACAGCTGTACTAGAAGCTCCCACTTTATTTGCTTTGTATTAAGTGTTTGCTTACAGCCCAAGGCTTGGGATTTTGCAGAAGGCTGACTTCCTGTTAAAGTTTGCAGTTATAGGGTAGGCCCCCTGTCCATCATCGTTAAGTTTGGTTCCACCCCCTGTTCAGGACAATTGAGAAGGGAAGAGAGCCATTTTCAGTCAGTCTCAGCAAGGAAAGTCAATGTACAGGACGTGTACAGACTTCTCCTGTACAAAGGCTTCAACCCTTAAGACCTCCCGGGGGAGAACAGTGTTAAGAGCAAAAGGATTCCCAAAGATTCCCAGGGAAACAGCTCTAAAGCTCTGAGGAATTTCGGAGGGAAAAAACAGCTTTGAACATCTAAGAACTCCAGCTGAAGTGACTACAGGCCTACTGGTAGGTCCACTTGGTGCTTTGAGACGCAGATCAACCCGGTAGTGGAGCCCACATCAGTTAGGTTTAGGATCACAGTTAGCCTGGGAGAAGTTTGGAAAGGGATTTTCCTTTAGAGTAAAGTAACAGTTAAAAGCCACCAGTTGCACAGAGCCTGGAAGCATTTGTTTAACCTTTTGAAGACAAAAGAAGTTTCTGTTAATTGTTCACCAATAAAATACTTTGTTATATTTTACAAGCCCTCTAGAGACTGTTTATGGTGAAAATCCTTATGAATTTCTCTTCGGGCCCCCTGGCTTCCCGCTGGGCTAAAGCTGCACATCCTGTTTTAAAAGCAATTCGTTTCAAGCCTAGCGTGCGACAGAACAAGTACATTACTTTTACAGAAAAAATCGGGATGTAGCCACACTGTAGAATTAATGCAATTTGACACCACATTAAGTGTCATGGGCTCAATGCTATGGAACAATGGGATCTGTAGTTTTATAAGGACTTTAGCATTGTCTACTAAAAAGTGCTGGTGTCACACCAAACTGCAAATCCCATGTTTCCATAGCATTGGGCCATGGCAGTTAAAATGGCATCAGACTGCGTTAATTCTACACTGTAGGTCAGTGGTTCCCAACCCTTTTTTGACCAGGGACCACTCTCCAACATTGGTACTAAAAGGGTTACAAATCAGTTTTTGGTCAACTTCAGATTCAGTTTAGTTATTTGAGGTGTTGATTTAAAAAATTGCATTAGATAGACCACATCAGCTCTAGTTTCTGATACGGAACATATGCCATCCAGTAGTTGCCATCTGCTTGCCCACAGAAAACCATATTTAATGAGCCTTGGCACCACTATGTCCCACCTCGTAATCTAAGATCATCCAGGGAGGCCCTGCTCTCGCTCCTGTCAACAGCACAGATGTGTCTGGCGGGGATGAGAGACAGGGTCTTCTTGGCTGTGGCCCCCCGCTTATGGAACACACACCCAAATGAGGTAAGAGCCGCTCCCTCCCTCCTGGCTTTTAGAAAAAAAAATTAAATCATGGTTTTGGGACCAGGCCTTCGGGCAGTAGAAGTAAATGTATGCAGCATTTCAGAAAGACAATGACTGGAACGGCGATTCGACAGACGAGACTGTTTTATTGTTTTAATGATTGTTTTATTGCTTGTGGATATACTGTTTTTAACTTGATTTATGTCTAATTGTAGTGTAGAATTGTAATTGTTTGTACTAGCATTGAATTTTGCCATTACTTATGTGTAAACCGCTTTGAGTCCCCCTCGGGGTGAGAAAAGCGGTATACAAATATTGTAAATAAATTAATATAAGAATGTTTCGTGAGACTGGTTGCTCTTGTTGCAATGGTATAGTAACAGTGAGGCCATGGACCATATTTTAGTTCTTGAGGACCACTGGTGGTCCATGGACCATATGTTGGGAACCAGGGCCGTAGCCAGAAAAAAATTTCGGGAGGGGTTGAAATTTTCGGGGGGGGGGGTTTGAAAATTTCGCGGGGGGGTTGAAACCTGCCTCCTAGCTCACGCTGAAGCAAAGAGCACAGCAGGGGGCAGAGCAGCCTTCAATAGCCTGCAGCTCCGCCCCTGTCAGCCACCTCCACCAAGTCTGGCCTCCTTAATGAGAGCATTCAACACACACACACACAACTTGGTTGCTTCACTACATCGGCTATTGCTGCAAGTAATGACAGTGTGAATAAATTGTCAATATTTGCCTGAGATAGTGCTTGCAGTTCTGGAGGGACTCTTAATTTTTTGCATCTCATAGACTTAGCATGGGGATTTGGTTAACCAGTTAAAATTCATGAGTAAACCAGGTTTTAAAAAAAAATCTGAAACATTTCGGGGGGGGGGTTGAACCCCTAACCCCCCCCCCCCCCCCCACTACAGGCCTGTTGGGAACCACTGGTGTAGGTGAACCCACAAAATATTCAACATATGAAAAAGTGATATATGTCACACTATATAAAATAAAACTTATATATGTAATAAAAATATTTTTAAAATATTGTTATTACTTTGGAACTATCAGGAAGAGTCCATTTTAAACAACTGATACGGAAACGGTATCTCAAAGCATTTGGAGCTAACTATTTTAAAGCCACCTTCTAGCCACAGTGCAGAAATGTTACCTTGGTTGGGGCAAATGCAATTGCTAACTCCTACTAAACAGCTATATTTCTCTTCTTTGCCAAATCAGATTTTAGAAAAAGGTAATATGTTTCTTGGCTGGGCTGCCTGGGAGATTCTGAATTGTAGTCCTCCCCCCAAAAACTTCTCCAAGATCCTGTAACTAATTGCAGATTCTTTCCAGGAAGGCTCATTCCCAGAGCTTGTCCCGATTCCAAAGGTTTAGTCCCAGGAGCTGGAAAGTAGACTTTTTTTTTTGAGTTTTTCCTGTTTGAGGAGGGTAGTCTCCCAGCCCTTGCTCTCTCTTCTCCTGGACAATAAATCTTCTGTTATCCAGGGGCAGGGCTTCGCTGTGCAGGACAGAATCTACCTATTCCACAGGCTGGTTCCCTTCCAAAGAACATTCCATAATATATCCTCCAGTTATGTTTATTTTGCCAAGAGACATTCACAGTCAGAAGGGTGGATGAACAGTGGCTGTGTGTATTTCTTTTAACTTCAACTGGAAATTACCATTGGCCAGCTAAGCTTCAGACTTAAGAGTTGGACTCAGAAAGTGGATTTCTCAGAGCATGTGCTAAGTGACCCAATTCATTTATTTTTGCAGTGAGACATTCTAATGTCAATAAGCTCACAGAAACCATTACTTTTAATAATAATAACAACAACAATAATTAATAATAATAATCTGCCTGAATATATAAACTGTGATTCAGCAAAACCAGTTTTCTATACAACACTTCCCTGTATATAATCTAAAATGAAAGGCATTCTTCAAATTATATTTGCATTCATTTTATTCTCTTTTCTTTTTCTTCCATATTTCCCTGCTTTCCCCAATAAAGAAGAGGAAGGATCTCCATATCAGGTCAGTATTATTGTTTATACCTAGTAGCAAAATGCAAGGAGATCTGGCCCTTTTATTAGGCAGGGTGAGGCACCAACCTTACACAGCACATTTGGTTTGTCATGAAACCAGGCAGGTCAGTTATTTAATGTGCTCTGTTTTGATTTTACAACAAGGATAAAGACAAATGAAGGGAAACTTTTTTTCTAGACATTAGAGAAACTGAAATTTCTAGTTTAGGAATAACAACAGGGGAGGGGGTGTCTTTAATTAACTATTATCTGTTTATAAGCCAAATTACAGTTTCTGGAATTCTTTGTGGACAACCATGAGTAACAAATTGATAGAAATGTTTTATATACAGTAGGAATCTTCTATCCACAGGATTGATTTATCCAGATCCAACAAAATATGTCCTCTCTAGACATGAATCTGTGATATTATCGCACCCAAAGTCCTTCATTTCAATAGAGTTTGCTATTTTCTGTGGTTTTGCATGTCCATGTTCCATCCGTGGATTTGTGGATGGTGCTGGGCTTGTAGAATAGATATGTCATAAGACTGTACTCACACATGTGTGTCAATGTATATTAAAGTTCCCATTAGCACATTGTTTTTGGTTTTCCAAATATTTTTGCAAAAAATTCTTTCCGCAGTAGATTTGTAGTCATGTTTTTTTAGAACAGGTTCTCAAACTTTTTCAGCCACAGGGTCCTTTTTGAAGCAAAAGTTTCTCATGGAGCCCCAGGAAATGTTTATATATAATATATAGTATAATATAATGTAATGTAATGCAATGTCATGTAATATAATATATAATGCATATATCTCAGACATGTATTTGTTTATTTGTTTATTTATTTATTTGCCATATTTATATACCGCCTTTCTCAGCCCGAAGGCGACTCAAGGTGGTTTGCAGTTGGGACAATTCGAAGCCCCCAACACCATAAATTACCATTAAAAACAATTAACATTAATATAAAACCATATAAAACCAGTAAAAACATAAGTCCTCAACATCTCATTACTAAAAACATTTTCCAAACGCATCATCCTGTCATTCCGTGGTTCTAAATTTGCCAGTTACACTGCATTTGCAAAAGCTCGCTCGAAAAGCCAGGTTTTGACTTGTTTTTGAAATGTTAGGATGGAGGGGGCCGATCCAATGTCCCTAGGAAGGGAGTTCCATAGCCGAAGGGCCCTGTCTCTCATCCATGCCAACCGCACCTGCGAAGATGTCAGGAGCGAGAGCAGGGCCTTCCCAGAAGATCTTGGGCTGGGTCAGTGGTAAATAGATAGTGTTTTTGTGAATTAATTCAAACAGTAGAAAATATATATAAAAATACAATATTTAAAATGAATAAGAATTTTAACCAACATAAACAGCATTTCAGTGGAAGACGCCGAAGTCATCCAGTCCAAACTCCTTCTGCTATGCAAGAAAAACACCCTAACAGATGGCCATCCAACCTCTGCAATAATAATAATAATCATAATAATAGCAGAAACCGCAGAGGAGATGGGTTGCCCGTGGAGCCCCTGAGCACCTTTTACAGAGTCCCAAAAAGCTCCCTGGTGCAAAGTTTGAGAACTGCTATTTTAGAGAATTCTGTCGGCCTGTGCCCTCCAGATGTGTTGGACTACAAAAACCACCCATCCTAGCATTTGGAGGAAATTGGGTTGATGAAAGTTTTTGTGGGGTACACACATTCTCATAAGGCAGCAACAAGTCCTTCTAGATGTCACAATTATTCCATGGGAATTTAAAGTATAATCTAGGGCCTTTGGGACTGTAGATCTATTTTATCTTTAGCCAGATATATCCTGCAATCCACTAAGATGAGCTTGTTGAAGTTCTTTGTTTGAGTTATATAATTCTGAAAGCCAGATATGGAGTACGTGAGCCTTGACAACATCCATTGGGAGTAAGAAGTCCTTCTGATATATTGCAAATCACCCAGATATTGAATAGCATCTGCATCTACCAGTATGACCATCTCAACCTAGAACATACCTAGTTTATTGATATTTGCTGTGAAGTCTGATTTGATTTACGGCAGCTTTGTAAATTGAACATTTCCAGTAGTGCTAGTCTTGCAAACACAGGGTCATGGCTTATTTTGTGAAGCCAGTCCACATTAATTAGGTCTTCCTCGTTTCCTACCCCCTTCTGTTTTACCCTGCATTATTGACTTTTCTAATAAAACATGTTATTTCAAGATATTTCCAAAGTATGATAGACTCATTCTTTGCACAAACCATGAGATAGCATGCTTTGTTGCATTAGAAAAGCATGTTTATGGAGAGTTCAAGCTTAACTTGCTCTTGTATTTATTGGCAGTCCATTGTATCCCTAGAAACTCTCCTCCAGCACCAGATTTCAGATGCGTTTATTTTTTCCCTGCCAGCTTTCTTCACTGTCTAGCTTTCACAACCATACATAGAAAACAGAAATGCTAAGGCACAGATGGTTCTAACTTTGATATTTAATAAATAACTTCACCATTTTTAATGTGCTATGTTGCATAAGGAGGACAAAGACTGGTGGACAGCTGTCTTTCAAAGAATCTTGTTCCTCAGCACTGATTTCATTGAGGACATAGTGACAACAATATGAGAAAACCTAATCTTTCCTACAACGTATTTTGAAAACCACTGTGTTCTCTTAACTTGGTAATAGGTTTGTCCATTCAAATAAGGGACAGAGCTTCTGTCCTTCTTAGGCCCCTTCAAAGCAGATAGTCCACACTAACTGCTTTGAAGTGGATTATATGAGAATACACTGCCATATAATCCAGTTCAAAGACGATAATCTGGATTTTCTCAGTGATTCCCCCCCCCCCACCTCTGGAATGCCCTCCCCAGGGAAATTAGACAGGCCCCATCCTTTGTTTTGTAAGCCTGAAGACCTGGTGGTTTCAACAAGCCTTTGAGAATGACCAGTTCTAGCTTAGCCCTAGACATTGTTGAATATGGCCTTATTCTTCCTACCAATTACCCAGGTCACTTCCTCTAATAGGCCCCGGAGATGAACAGCCATAGACCCATATCTATTATTGTTGTTTTCTGCTATAGCCCTGCACTTAATTCCCGGGGCCCCTAGAATTTTTGATCTTGCACTAATCTTGGCCCAGCCTTTTAAATTGCCTTGAACAGGCAGGATTACTTTTAATATATATGTGTTATGGAGACAATTTTTATGCTTATATTGTTATGTTAATCTTATGGTTATGTTATTTACTCTGTATGTATTGATGATGTTACTTGGAAACCGCTCTGAGTCCCCCCGGGGAGATAGAGCAGTATATAAATAAAGTATTATTATTATTATTATTATTATTATTATTATTATTATTATTATTATTATTTGGCAGTGTAGAAGGGGCATAAGAGGACATTTCATGAATACAACTGCTGAAATTTCTTTTCTGTGCAGTCACTGAATTAACAAGAGCCTTGTCCAAAACAACCATCAAAGTTACAGAAGTCTACTTCAGTTTTTAAAGTGGAAATCCTAGCCAGAGCTGACAAATGGGGGGTTCCTCTGAACAGCAGTTTCCAAACAGATTCTATATACCTCACTACTACATAATCATAGGCACCATCTACACAGCTACTACTGTATAATCTATCTTGAAGCTGTTCCGAGGTTGGAATATCTAAAAAACTTACATGTTTTCTCCAACATGCATCCAGCCAAAAACCATGTTTTTTTAAAAAAAAAAACTCAACAGAAAGTCCAAAAAAACCACAAAACCCCACTGAAGCTGACCAATGTATGGCCACTGCAGAGCAGGAATTTGGGACCAACATGTGGAGTGCATGTGAGGACAGAGTTAGCACTGGAACTTTTGGATACAGAAACCAAATACACAGCTCAGGTGGAAAGTAAACAAACACCTTCCCCCTGGAGAGGTACCCGCTTTTCATTTCCTATTTTGCCTTGAAATGTTGTAATGCGGATCCATATTGGATAGGCTGCTTCTTTGCAGTGCAGCTCAGTGGAGGAAGCAGGGAAATCTTTTCTTCTTCTTCTTATAACAGATTAATCCACAGATCTGCAGGAACTCCATCTCAGTTTCTAGCTGGTTTCTGGGGTGCCTGTGTAGGCACTTCCAAATTAACCAGATCTCTGTGATCCATATCCTGAATCAGATTGAATGGCTATGTGGAAACAGCCATAGTTATTCACAGAGATTATTAGTCGACAAGAGGATAAAAGGACTCAAAATGGAAAATTGCTTATTCCTTTATCATATTTTCCTGCTATTGATACCAAACCAGTTAGAACATTAAGATTGTCTGGGGAGGCCCTTCTCTCGATCCCACCAGCTTCACATGCGCGTCTGGCGGGGACGAGAGACAGGGCCTTCTCAGTGGTGGCCCCTCGGCTGTGGAACACCCTCCCTACAGAGATCAGATCGGTCCCCTCCCTGTTGGCATTCCGGAGGAAACTGAAGACCTGGCTTTTCGAACAGGCATTTGACTAGGCAGTGCTATCGATTATTGGAACACGGAATAAGGATAATGAGGCTGGATTCTGATTCTATCGATGAGATGTGATGGAATTGTTATATTGATATTGATGTTGATGTTTGCTGTTTAATTAATTGTTTACTATTGCTTTAAATGTCCAATGATTTTGTACTATGTATATTGAAACTGTGTTGTTAACCGCTCTGAGTTGCCTAAGGGCTGAGAAGAGCGGTATACAAATAAAGTAAATAAATAAATAAATAATAAATAGCAATGGAAATCCTCCCATGATTCCCCTAGTAAAATCTTGAGCTTGTGTGTATGTGCTTTCAAGGTGCCTGTTGAGTTGTGACAAACCCATGCAATTCATAGGGTTTACTTAGGCAAGAAACATTCAGGAGTGGTTGTGCCAGTTCCTTCCTCTGAAATATTGCCTTCGGCACCTGGTATTCATTGGCAGTGTCCCATCCAAGTACTAACTAACTAAAGCTGACCTTGCTCAGCTTCCAAGATCAGACAGGATGGGATGCCTTTAGGTCATT